GTGTCTTAACTTTCCATTAATAAAAAAGAAACTAATTAATAATTAAAGGATCGTTTCATAATGAAACATTAAATTACTGCAATTTGATATTGGAGAAATTGCTATTATCGATGTCGCTGTTATCAGTAGAAGCTCCCTTATCTCGATGTTGAAAACTTATCGACCCCAGCTTCCGGAATATCACAGCTTTACCGACAGGAGATATTCGAGCTTTGAAGAAGCTCTTCGAAAGCTCGCACATCGACGAACTGTGTATCTTTTCCCTTATCTGCGTCGAGTATTCAAGGGTTGAAGATAAAATCGGGAAGAAAATTTCTTTGCCGATTGCGAATGAAATTATGAAATCACAGACGAGATAGATTTTTCAATGTCCCATGGACAGGCGGGGTATGTAGCCCCCTTACGATTTTTAATTAATTTTATTTATACAACCATAGGGACAAAAGTTTGATTCTTTTTCCACAATTCTATTCATTAGAAATTAGAATCAGCACAAGAATCATTAAAATAATTTTTTAACAAAATTCCTCAGAGTTTAAGAATTGTACTACTTTTGTATAATGAACTTCCTGCATGTTGAATGCAAATGAAGTGCTCGTATGTTCGAAGTTGAACATCAAATATTTGAGATAGCATAGAGGAGACCGTGTGTCTATTTGAAATCCCTGTTTGGATTCATCTGAAACCTGTGTTTAAACGAATTCGCGGCAGGAATGCAAAGTTCTGGCTGTTTGTAGACGTATTGTACAATTTATATGTGTGTAACAATTCGAAGAGTTCATTTCAGTGAACGGGTAAGTGGGTTAGTCAATCAAAGGTAGATGTTCAATCAATAAAGCAAAAGCTTTGAAGGCGTAGAACAGAAAGTAAATATCAATAAATGACAGATAAAGGGTCAATAATTCAAGTATTAATGTGCAATCATTTCAGAGAATTGTAGCGAATATATTTCCACTAAAAAAGAAAATAAAATTACAAAATAAAATTACTTGAAGGCATTTATCAGATCGATTCAGATATTCCGATCAATACTGGACCTTTTCTAAACGTCAGTTCGTATTCCCACGGGGTCGAATTAAGATCAGAATATCCTCGTACCTTTTTTATTCTCTGCGAAATCGAAAAAGGCACTGCTTCGAGCATTACGGTCCGTCTGGTTAGGTGATTTCGTATTCGTATCACGTGGAAACTGTCGGTGTCTATATCGAAATCATCGTCTGGTAGACCGTATAATATTCAGAGGATAGATTGTACCCATCGATTTCCCTGAACTTTTCACCGTAGGTCACGACGTGATCCCATAGAAATGTACGAATAATGTGAAACACGAAGAACAAGTACATTTTCACGTTTCGCCACGTTGTTGTTGCACAGGATCGTATTAAACTTCGTCTCTACGATGCATACTAAATTGATACCCTGAGGGAAAAATGATTCTTCTCGTTAGGATGATATTGTGGCAAGCTGAAATTAGACTACTTTGGTTCGTATAATGGAGGTAAATCACGCTTTCATTACGCTGAAAATATTCGTTTTAAGAACAGTCAATTTTCCACTGGTTTTTGCTAAAATAAATTCTGGTTGTTAAGAATTTGAGTAGTTCGTTAGAAAACAAAATACACAACCTGAAATATTCTACATTTGTTTGAGTGGAATTCCAATGACACCTCTGATGTCTTTCGACCCTCCATATATTAAATTTTCTCGATTCAATGCCTCCCATGAGACTCATCTGTTTATATAGGCCAGTCTATAGAAACCGAATGCTTTCCACCAACCGAGAATATTTTCTTTTTTTCTTTTGAAATATCCAGCTTCAATTTTAGCTTACAGTTTCACGAAATCATTCATAAATATTCATCGAATGTCATATGGAATTTGCAAGTTCTCATTGTACCAAGTTGAAAATCTACATTTCTGGATTGTCTACTTTAAAAAAAAAAAAATAAGATTGCAAGATTCAAACACATTTTCTACAAAAGTGAGTCAATCATCTTTCGAAGGTCACTAATGACTTTAGAACAGTAAGTCGAGAGCCTGATTGCTCGGTACAATTTGAGGATCTAATTACCCATTTTCGGATTTGCAAAGCAGGTACAATGTATATCCATCAGGAATGCAAACTGTCTGGCAGTAAACTGGCACGGTGACGGTGTCGCGTTTACGATATCCTCCTCAAGGAAATTGAATTCTAAAGGGCTTATCTCTCGACTCTCCATAGAATGTGTCACTATAATGGCTACTTTTTGCTGAAATTGCACAGGGACCTAGAGAAAATGACTAGCAGTTTGCTAGAATTATGACAAATTAAATAAATTGAATTCTCAGACGACGAAGAAACGGATTAAGACCTCGTTTTCTCCCTCGCTGATTGATTGACTCTGACACCTTCGGAATGAGAACAAGGCCCTCTCGTCAGGTCATTCGTTATTGGTGATTTTTTGCACAGTGGAATTGCAGACGATCGGTAAAAATACGTTTGTCTTAGGTGTGCCTACCGATTGTTTTTTTCTTTTCGTCTGAAAAAAAATTCCAGCATCCCTTCGGATATTGCCTTGGAATCTATCGAAGTTGACCAGAGAAGGTTAATGGTACGAATAACCTTTGACCAGCTGACAAATGTGGACGAGCAATCGTTCCGAGATCCTCAACTTATAATGTTTTTCTATCTACGAACTTAGTTTACTTATCTCGACATAATTGGAATCTCACCCTTAGGATCTCTATGATAACCCTCGATTGGCGAGAGTCGGGTCAATCGTTACCCCTTCTTCGGGGACGTATTATACAAGTTTTATAAGACTAAAAACGTACAGAAAATTCTGACTAGTATTAATATTGTATTAATTTGTTGTTAATCCAAATATTATCATTGAAACCGAGATAAAATTTCTCACTACAGTGTTTGGATTGTAAACTTTAGATTTATACAGAGTGAAAATTATCTGACGTAGTTTCGAACTTGTATTCATAGTATACAGTTTCAAAATCGCAACTCGAGGATGAAGTATGTGACACGTGAGTGATTGAGCGCGATCAGGTGTGTGCACAAAGTTGCAAGAGATTAACTGGAAGTGTAAGAGAGAAAGTATGAAATACCTCTTGACTATCTACCTAAAACAACTAATTTATCATCCATTTAGTGTTTGTTTTAATTACAATATGAATACTGATTAATTCCTTTTAACGGTGATTGATTAATTAGCCAATTTGGAAATTTCAAGTTCAACAAAGCAGACCAAAAATTCTTTCTTCTTCCAAACAAGCTAAACGATGTCAATTTCAAAGTTTCTCGTAATCCGAGGACATTCCTCTACTTGATCCCTGATATCCATCGCGAATATTCTAGTCAGTTTGTTGAGAAATTGTTAAAACCCGGAGAACTCGGATCTTCGCTAACGAGGCTACCCTCAGGATGGCTGTTTCGTTGATTTCAAGTTCGACGAAAGTTTCCTGGGCACGATTCACTTCATAAACAGTGTACGTTTCACGGAGAATAATAGATTAACATGGATCATGGGGGAAGGAAAAAATTGCGGAAAAGTTTCACCGAATTTATCGAAGGACTGTATTCTTCTTGTGGTTGAAATTTTACGTACAAACAGTCTCGTTTCTTCGAGCTGTTAGGCATAATAATTTGTTTTCTTCATGAGAGCTGTGAAAGTTTCAAGGATAATGGTTGAAAAGGCTGGGACGAATTCGTGCAATGGATAGTAACATAAAAGGGGAAAGACGGCAAATGGAAAATAAGAAAATGTGAAATACAAAATAACGTAACGTGAAAACTGTAGTAAAAATTTATAAATTTATTATATCGTTATGTCAGTTTAATTTGACAATAAAAAGCACGCGCGTTAAAGTTGCGCGAATTTTCCGATTCTTTTTGTTTGTTGCATTTCAATTTTCAACAGGTCATTTGATAAAGAGTGTGGATTATTTGCCACAGGGACTGAAATATTACTTGGTATTTCATTATGGTGCATCTACGTCGATGAAAAACGCGTTGCACGTTTTCATCATCGCAATAAATTAAGAAGAAAAAAGGGGAAAGAGGTCGAAACTGTCGAAACAAGGTCGAGTTATTCCTTTTAATTACTTTCTTTTATTTCCAACACGAAGAACGCGTCGATACGAGATGAGATTCTTCTTTTATCACTGTAAATTATTTCTTTCGAAAATTCACGCTATAGGAGTTTCATATCATTAAAGTTATCGACAAAGTTTATTAACATTGTCAGTTCTAGAAAATTAAGATTGAGCGATTGGTTTATTCAATCGGCTTATAAAAAAAAGTCGGTGAAGTTTTTTTCGATCATCAATTTCTATCATGCTGTTCCTATTTACGAGGGCCGGGAAGATTAAGGTATATTCTTCTCTGTTCCAAAGTTTCACTCTGTTGATGTTATCTTGCAAATTGTTAGTGGCATGGAAAAACTTCGGGATAAACGATTTGTATGTGGATCTTATTTATCACACGATAAAACAAGATCCTGACTGATACCCTCTTTATCGAACGTTTAGTGAATTAATTTATGCGTTAGTGAATGTCTCTTGTGCTACAACAAATATTATCGGAAGATATAAATTTATCATTCGAAATATAAACATTGTTATTAATTCGTTAATTAAAAATCAATCTAAATCTACCCATCGCACGATAGCTAATTAAAAAATGAAACAATGCTAATTCCTGCTGTCTTGCGAAATTTCATTGCATGGAATATCAGAAGCTTAACGGATAATCCTAGCAGCTTACATTTTCAGCTCACTGGTAATAATGAATCGTTTCGCAAAGCTTAGTCGAATTAACATCCTATCCCTTAATAAGTTCTTCCTCGTTTTCTCTCTTGTCAATCATTATATCATTCCGAAGTTTTATTAATTACCAGCGTCATTAGACATGTTGCATCGAGATTAGGATCATTAGATCGTTCGATCAAAGAGAATTGAACAATAGTTCATAGATTTTACCTTTGACAGTGAACGTCACATTTACTTACCTTTGATGAAATCCACGGCCATTTCCAATCCATAAGTGTCCTTATCACAATCGTCAAGAATATGAGCACCGATCTTAACACCAGGCACGATCTCTCGATCGTTCAACCTATCCAGTGTATAGAGCATCGCTTCCAGTGCTTGTACACCTCCTTGCGGCATCACAGGGCCACAAGTAACGGTATCCTCTCTCTCGTGTACCATCATCAGACCACCCAACACTAAATCTCCCTCGACGACCGCACTGTGTTTAACCGGCCACTGGTTCAATGGTTCCATTTCTACGGACGAGTTATTTACTTTATACAATCCATCTTCCACATTCGCGCGTTCATCTCCGTTCGTCTCCAAAGGGTTCAGGTCGAAGCCGAACGATGGTTGCTCGTTACCGGTGGACAGTAGACCAAATTCAGTCGTCGTAAACGTGACATTCTCATCGATGGAAATCTCCTCGGGATCCTGGATAATTTCGGTTAGGTTCTTCGATTGATTTCGAAAGAGAAACTCTAGGGGATGATCCAACGATTCCAATAACGTTGGACCATTCGGGAGGTTGCTTTGGTTTCGAGCGTCTTCGTTGCTCGATACAGGCGCCCATTCTTCAAGATCCTTCTTCAAGTCGGAGGAACCGAGTTCGATGCTAGTCGACGTCGTGCTCGTCACTTTCGACGATCTGGATTTCCTGCCTTTCGGAAAATGCTGGTTCATCCAGCTTGCCATAATACCACCAGATACTCTACGGTCCATCGATCGCTCATTCGTTGGATGTTCGATGTCCTTTCCCTCGTTTCTGGTCGGATTAACCTGGTTCAACGTTCCATTATCCCCAGATCCGCCCACGACCCCTTTGTTCTCCGCGTTTTTCCAACGAAACTCAACGGTTGGTTCGTTATTCTTGATTTTCTCGACGCTGTTTTGAGGAACCAGGAAGTCTTCCTCGGAAACAATTATTGAACCATTAGACCTATCTTTGGAGATCACTCGGATACTCATTAACGATTGATTAACGAACCGGGTTTCCTGATCCGGTTCTGAATCATTTAATGAAATATTCTTTTCTTGCTTTAAGCTTTTCAACTGCGTCCTCTCAGTTTTCATAGTTTGTGCAATTATTTGAAAATTTTTGGAAGAGGTTTCAGTATTTTTTTTATTGAAATTTTTCTTAATTTCAATCATTGAAGAATGTGTAGGATTTTCAGTAAGTGATTCGACAAGAGAAACCTCAGCATCCTTTGTCACGCTCTTAAATAAAGACCCCTCTTCCTGTGTGGCTTTAAACTCGTCTTCCTTGTCGTGTTCATTAAGCTCCTTCCATGTCGCGTTTAATTCTATTGCATCTGTTTCCTTCCCGTCCTGCCGGTTTGACTGGTGTTCGTTGTCTAACATCAAAGATCCGGTTCCTGATTCACCATCATTTAAGTCTAGTGCTTTTGATATTAGTTCCTTCTCCTTGATCGAATTATCTGAGATGTTCTCTTTGTCAAAAGTGAAGTCTGGTTCTTGCATATTATTTTCATTCGTTTCGTTATTAAAGATGTTTTCAATTTCTTGCTGGATTTTTCTGTCATTCGATTCTACGTGATTCTGATTTGATGAATTATGTACCGTTTCCACGACAGACAGGTATTCTCTGGTGTTCGATTCGGTAAACGCGATTGGAAAGTCTGGATCTGTGGAAAAAGTATTACCATTGTCCCTGCTAGCATTCTTGTCCACGAGTGATGCCTGTTTCAAAAGGGTTTCATTTCCCAAAGGATTCTTCGAAGCTGCTGATTTATTAAATGTCAACTCGTCTGCAAAGTTTGAAGAATGATCACCCTGCTTTGATTGATTCAAAGATTTCAAATCAAACGAAGGATATGGTTTCTCTGTATTTTTATTTCCTTTTCGGCTTAAAATTCTAATGGATTTATTAATCAAATGTTCACCGGTCATTAAATTGTATACCGATGCGTTGCCCCATTTGCCTTTCAATTTTAAATCATCATTTTCTAATTTTTCATTAATTACAATAGATTTATTCGTGAATTCGTTGTCATTTGCAACCATAAATGGTGCTGGGTTTATACCATTTACGTCTTCCTGTTCTACATCCACTTCCTTTGTCGAAAATCCTTTCACGTGATCCTTTTCTTGTCCACCTTTTTCAGAAGCTCCCAGGAACTCGTCATTTTGCAAATTCCCATCGACGTGACCGTAATACGGATGCCCAGCGACCGAGAGCTGGTTTCCGGTTGGAGTTTCGCTTGTCAGCGTCTGTTTCTCGCGTTTAGATGGCTCCTTGTTTCTTGAATGGTCCTTTATCTTGGCAGCGGAAATCCAGGACGAAGGCGAATTTCGAATCCTGTCGAGGATTTCCGTTTCTGCGATTCGTTTGTTGGCTAAAGACTTATCAGTTCGTTTTTGCGAATCTTCCAGGCGGAGTTTCCTTTCTTTCGAGTTCGTTCGTTCAACAGACGAAGCTGGCTGAGAATCTGATTTCAATCTTTCGTTTAGAATTGTGCTCGCGGATAATTCTTCGTTGGTGTCTGTCGGTAGAAATGATTCTTGACGATCGTCGTGATTACGAAGATTATGAATCGCTCGATTAGAAGCTCGAGACTGGTAAGCGGATTTGCTGCGGTTCGCCCGCAGCTCCGTATTCCCATGATCGAGCGGAAGCTGCTCATCCGCTAATCCGTGCCGTAAATTCGGCAACACCATTGAAATGGCCAATATGGCCAACCAACCGTTGTTCCGCCGCATCACCTTTCTCCCTTGGCGATCATACCTTAATCCTGAAACGAAGGAAACATTGTAATTATTACACGGTGCATTAAGCTTTGAATATTTGCCTCAAAATAATCATGATCTATTACAATTATTACACGGTGCATTCAGCTTTGAATTTTTGCTTTGAAATATTCATAATTGTTTTATAGCTAATTTTCAAATTGCAGTCGATACTTACTGCTTTATAATTCATATTTGTTAATAATTTACAAGCAATTAAATCATAAAATCTGTTAACTTATTATTTATTTCGATACGTATAATCCCAATTGCCTTTGGTCATTCAAACTTTCTTTGAAATTTCTAATTAGATCCAATGGCTTTATGAGACCACTGTTGCACCGCGTCTGCCGTAGATTTAACTTTGACCATAATTTGAATTTCTCGTGAATCTAATGCGAATCGAGCTTGCGGAATTCACGAAAGTGAAACTACCTCGGATTCGGATGGAATTGTTATAGATATAACTTCCGAGTATAATTGAACCTGAGATGAAGCTGGTTTAATTAAGGAATCGAAATAATGTTTTTATTTCAATCAAATTATTCTGAATATAAATTTGCGTTGATAATCATTACTATTTGGCATTCCGAAATAATCGCGTTCCATTTCGCGCCCATGATCCGACGGATCCTCGAAATTTGAATTATCATCGGAATTCGTGTCGAGGACGAGTGATTTTTCAAATCTGGCTGCGTACAAATTTCACACCATCGAACAGGATCATTTTGATCAGTGTCACTGCGGATCGACACAATAACGAACGATTTTTAATTAACCCCCGTGATGCGAGTACGGTATTAAAATATTCACCGACACGAGGTCAGAGTTATTAATCACGACGCGTTCGTACAGCAGCGGGGATATGTCGACGAGCATTCGTCATTTTCGGTGCCCGCTGAATCAAACCAGATAACTATCCTTGATTATTAAACAGCGAAACGAGCTATAAAGCTATCTAAAATAGCCGCAGTGATCATTGTTTCACGGTTGAGCTTGGAATATTGCCATTAAGCTCTCTAAAGCGAGGATAAATGACACATTTTGTTATCTGCATCGTTAATGAACGACAGAATTCGATTCGAAGATTTTGCTTTTATTCTAAAGGAATCCCTGATTGATTTCCATGATGCCAGCGACTTGATAAGGAATGTTTAATTTGGACGACTTCCACGAGGATTCGATTAAATTGTGTAATTAGCATTTATAGTGAGATTCGTACAGTGACATATGAGAGATAGTGGAGCAATTACTATTTCAAACGAGATTTATGTTATATGTTATTGGAAAGTTTTTCTAGGTTTTCGGGTTAATTAAACGTAATAAATAAAAAATGACGTTGCTATCAATACCATTTCATATTTCTCATGATCATCAATGCTGCATAAAATCAATGAATATGCAGACACTAATAGGGTACACGAACATGCTTGAAGAGGAAATATAATCCTATTGAAGCACGCTCTATTGTTCGTCGGCCATGTAATAATTCAATAATCAATGCTTTGAAAAATTAATTTCCTGTGGCCAGTGCTCGCCACATTCGCCACCATGTCCGGAATGTCTATACCCACTTCCCATAAATTCTCATTCAAATATGGGAAGAGTTTCTATTTTTTTTTTCTAATTAAAATTTTTATTACCCTCTTAAGTATCATTAAGAAGCTTGTTTTACATTGGTAAAACAAATAGAGTAATCACCGTGTTCTATTTAATGAACGTTGGATTGTATATTTTCATAAAGATCAATAGCAGACATGCAATACGTTAATTTAACTGTCTCGTAGTCGCTGTCAGGTGTTCGTGATTTTGACACATACGTTTGTATCTTATCAATCTTTATCTTCTCTCCGCTATACAAGATGCTAATTACGAGGGTTTCAATTTTTGTTATCAAAATTAAAATTACGTTATCACTGTCTCAAACATCGAGGGGTTAATAGTGTCGTTTACTGCCACAATGTTCTTATTTTTGAACAAACCCGCATGAATCCGCAATAAGGGAGTAAACTACAGGAATCTGGAATACAATTAAGCAAATCACGATAGCGCGTGTTGTCGTGGGCGGCACGAATGTCAGCAGCTCGCAGCAGGGCAATTAGGGATGGAAACGGAACACTCGCGAGCAAACTAGCGTAAGTGCACAATGCGTCACGATAATTACACGCACTAGTTGTAGCGGATAATACCGGGGACTACATAATTCTCTTCGCTTGCAGCTCGATTCATCTTTTTCTTCCATTGTCACATTTGAATAGAAAATAATGAGCGTAACATAGAAGTTGCACAATTTTTTCCAAGGAACCTATTATCATTTTTTTATCATTGATATATAAGGAGGTAAACACTGCGTGTGTATCCGATTCAGTTAACATAATGTCGTGATAGTTGACCCATCATCAATCGTTATCAGGCAATGGGACGTAGCTGCATTACGCATACAACACGATTTCACGGTATGTACTGCCTCTGGGATAACGGCTTGATAACAATACCGAGGTTTCGCTTCGACATCTCTGCTTGGAAACGACTTCGGTTACCGTGCGGTCATAAATGAAACGATGTTAGTGCGTTTCTAATTAAAGTACACTGGCGTATGTTGATTAACAATCCGCGGAAGCAATTTGATGTTACGATCCCGGGGGAACGCGGCTACGTTCCAGCGAAATATTGCACCCCTGGAAACCGTGTCATCTTGATTAATGGAATTGTGAACAATACTCTTAATTGATCGTCGTTTGTTGATTTTCGAACAATTCTAAGTGTCATTTAGAAATACTTGGTTGACACGTTCCGTCATTGGTAATTAATCCTATGAATATCATTTCGTTAAATAATTAAAATTTGAAGGTGTTAATTAGGATTAGATAATTAGTAAGAATTTTGATAATCTCGTTTCATTCGATTCATTCTTCCATGGTATCACGATCTGACATAACAAAATGGCGAACCTTCCAATTTACATGGAAATAAGGAAGCGGGATAGTTTTCTCATAATTTCGAGTCGTACAGCCGGAAGTGCAGTGGATGCGTTCGGATTTCATCTAGTTTGAAAGGACCAACTCAACTCGAATGGAATCCCATGGTGGTGTCGCCTCCACGCAGCGTTCCGCGTGTTTTCCAGCGAACAAAAGAAGATCCTTGATGGGACGCGAAACGAAATGGATGAATAGAGAGGCCAGCAGCGAAGCAGAAAACAATCAGCAACAAAAATCGTTGTCCCAGCGGTGTGTGCTTCGTCGAAATTGGGAATTTCATTGATATTCGGTCGCTTTAGTCGCAAGGATTAATTGCTCTTGCTCAGAGGCATCGTAGTTTGGACGAGTTCCAATTTTCTAGAAATTTTCCATTGCCTTTTTTTTTATTTCTACGGTTTTACCAATCCATGGAAAGAAGGTGCAACGTTGCCAAGATTTATTTATCCCGGAAATTTCGCTTTGGATCTAAATTTAATCTATAACATCTTCGGAACAACGCGTTAGCGTTCGATCAACCTCTTAAATCATTAAAGCTCGAAAAAAGTGAGCCTGCATCCGTATGACGGTCGTTTAGAACCGTCCACGCCAGCTTTTTCTTTTTCCTTCGAAGAATGATAGATGATGCGTGTGGAGATACGATGGGAAAAATCTGTATTGCAAGCCGGCGGACAAATTTCGTCGAAATTCGGAGCGGCTTACGAAGTTCCTTTAAGTAGGGATGGCAAGTTACATCGGTTTAATGCCTCTTATAGACAAACTTTTTATCGAAAGTTTGCGGATAAACTTGGACCAGTTATTAAGGGATGTTCGAAGAATCCTTAGCCGAAGTTTATGAATATAGTTTGGGAATTTTTTGGAGTTTCATAATAAACTGATAATTGTGTGTAACTAACACGATTACATAAAGAATGAACTGGTAAATATCTTTCCTGACAGATATCGAAGGATTTCTTTTTGAAAAAATTTTATTGGAACTTTCGAACTGGTTTCAAGAGTAGCTTATGAAAAAAAGAACCTTTGTAAGCTCAGCTTAAAAAGAATTCTGAAGTTGCTTAAGCAGATTATATTGAAAATTTAAACCTGGATTTTATGGGATTTTCAAACAGTTATTAAATAAATTTCATATACATTTTATGACAATAGTAGGATGTATTTTGCATTTGAAATTTTATTAAATTCTCACTTTATCATTTCAAGACTTTAGAGAGTAATTTTGATTTAGAATTGAAAAGGATGAGGAAACGGTTATTCATTGTAATTTTTAGTTGACAAAATTTCTCCCATTATGGTAAAATAGGTCGTAAGTAACTGAAGCAATCCATATTCTTTTTGAAGATAAAATCAATCATCAAAGTATACTTTACCATTTTACGCCTGGGAAATGGAAATCTCATCGTGCGGATATTACTATCAGCAGAGGAAAATTATTATAAACGAGCAGTCTTTATAAGTTGAGACTGAAAGTTATTGAACAATGCAGAGCATTCATGAAATTTACGATTCCCCATAAAATGTTAGTTTTATTCCGAAAAACTCTGAAGGAAGCCATGAGAAAAGGTCCTTTGTAAAATACGAATCAAAATTCCAGAATAATAGCCTCAGAAAAGCATTTATGAAAATTAAAATTATTTAAATTTGAAGATCCAATCACAATAAAAGAAATTCGATTCAAAGGCACGCATAGTGCATTTTTCTATATGGATCCGGTTTTTCATTTCGGAAACCTTTCGTTAAAAAATCATATCTCCCTAATTACCTTGGCGATTGTAATTTCGTTATCGAATCATGTTCATCAATCTTTGTCTCTCGATCGCAGTCTAAGCTGAAATTAAGGGTGATAAAATACATTTGTAAGTCGATTAGAGGAAACGGACGAGTGACAGAGAATAGTTTTGGAAGTTTTATTTTGTGACTTTTGATCGAGCTCCGTGACAGGAAACTAAAAATTCTCCTCCAACCCTGGAATTTCTGCGATCCGAAAAATTCGAAGTTTCTAATGGGTCAGTGAAGTGAAAGCGGTCCTTTGAATCACCTAATGAGCTTGTCTAATAACTATTT